AAGTGTTTACCGACGAATGAGAAGTTTTGGCTTGTTTTCATACCGGCCACACTGGGTCCTCCCTTTAACTCGAGAACACCGACGTAATCGCCTTGAGTGGTGCAGACAACGGTCACTCTGGGATCAGGAATGGAACAGTATTGTCTTTAGTGACGAGTCTCGATTTTCTTTAGGCATGCACGACGGTCGTGCCAGGGTTATAAGGCGACGTGGTGAAAGGAGGAGTCCACAGTTTTTTGTTGAAAGACATGTTCATCACACTGTTGGAGTTATGGTTTGGGGTGCTATAGCTTATGGTTCCAGGTCACCTTTAATCTTCATCAGAGGTAACATGAACGCGCAACGTTATATCCACGAAGTTCTAGAACCCCATCTTTTACCCTATCTTGACACCCTGGCAGATCCAACTTTCCAACAAGATAATGCCCGACCACATGTTGCAAGAGTCACAATAGACTTCTTTCAACATAATAATGTCACATTGTTACCATGGCCACCAAGATCTCCCGACTTGTCCCCAATTGAGCACGTCTGGGATATAATGGGTAGGAGATTGCTCGATTCGCAACGTCCTCCTCAGACTCTAGAAGCACTTCGAAAGGAGTTGGTGGTTGCCTGGAATGAGATACCACAGGAGGACATTGACCACCTGATCAGAAGCATGCCTAGGCGCGTTGGAGAATGCGTAGCACATCCGGGTGCATCCACACATTATTAATGGTCAAAGGGCTTTAAAGCAGTGCAATCATTTTGAAATTTTTATCATTTACTTATTATGCTTCATTAAGTACTTATACAAAATTTTATTAAAATAAAACCATTTAAACTGGGTGTTCGGATTTATATGTCACTTAGTATACTTATCTCATTGACCGCAGTCATTGCTACTCTACCTTGATCTTACATGCGAAAAATTTAACTACCGTTGCGAGTTTTTCATCTACATTTTCATTCCTTTGTGTATCTTATCTCTATACATAATACAAAAAAGCCATGATACAGGTACAGGGTACACGTTTTAATTTTCTTCCTGCAATTTTCGAGACCCATAAAACTGCCGCACGTAAGCTCTTCACGAATGTATAAGCAGCCATTCTATATTTAAACAAAGTTTATAATTCTCTTTGTTCACAAATTCAGAAAAGTTAAGAACGGAGGGTGTACTTCCGTGATAAAAGAAGCCTCACAAATTGCATGGTGGCTCTTCCCTTATGTCCCCCATATTTAAATTCGCACGGGTAGACAGGAATAAGCGGAAATAATAATGATGGGCACCATTAAAAGGTCGACGTCTTTAGCCCATATTTGCTACTCGCTTGTGAGGTGTATTTAGATACCCTTAGTTATTATAGATAACTTACTACAATATTAGTAGTACTACGGTTAAAGTACATTGTGTTAGTTCCTGATAATGGACTTAGTGACAAAAAAGGTAAACATCTACGTATGTTTATCAGATTTTAATAATTTTTGGCATGTATGTTCAGTATCCCTTACCGGTAAAATGATCATATTATATAAGGGCTAGATCAAACCCTGCTGGGTTTCAAGTCCCAACAAGGCCTATAGCTAGTTCTAGCGCCTCTCCGACGACCGGCAGTGCATCAGCTCCGTGCATGTTGCAATTCCCGCACGCTGACCACTATAGTGCATCTAAAACAAGAACTAGAACCAAAAGGGATCTTAGTGCCTTTCTGTCCACTGTCAGGGACCTTACAGGGCCCACAACACCAAGAGGCTTGTGTGACAAGTCCTCCAAGGCATCGGGATGTGGAACAAATACTTCTCATTCGTTATAAGAACACTACATGCCTATTTCAGCCAGTGCCTCGATACGCCACTTTGGCTTGTTGTTTTTCCCCTCCAAATCCCTGAACCTATTAGCACTGCCTCATGACGCATTCTTGACGTCCTGAATTCCGTCTGGTGCTAAATTGATTCAAAATGTTTCATTCATTATAATAAATTCTAATACGGAAAACGAAAAATATCATTTTCTGTTTATTTCTGTGTGTAACGCATGGCAACAAAAGCGACTGTGGTATGTCATAAAAACATCAGGTTTGCTTGAGCATTCGAGACTCTTTATAGCAGACAAAATAATATATAGAACAGGGCACTATCCCAATTTTAGAATAACGGAACTATAATTAATGATTCATCTAAAATTTAACGTCTTCGAGAAAACGTGAATACGAGGGGAGGTCAGAAAGTACGGAATTCACGGTGCCGAAAAAAAACTTCATTGCAATCACCAAACAATACACGCAGCCACCACAAAAACTTAACAGAAAAACCTGGCCATATTATCACTTGTTGTTCATGCCAAGTTATGTAAAAAATTCTTGAATTTTAATAAACATACGTAGGTGTCCACCTTTTTTTGTCACTCAGTATATCTGCGATGGTACAGAAGCTTCGATGCATTATCATTTTTTTTTTTTGGCGAGATATAAATTTGGATCATATGACCAGAGTTGTGGCATTGGCAGCTCAAGTCCTGGCGTATTCGTGTGTTATAATTTGTACCACATTAATTACCTCAAACTTCCCTTGCTAAGACTCAGCAGCATGAAAATAGGTTTTGGAATATACTGCCATATGGATAGTGTACGGTAGTCTTGACAATTTCTGAAAAACTATGTCTCCATCCATTCAAGCTTGGACCAGCCTGTACATGAGACAGCCGGTTTTGTTACTAAATAGATTTTGGGTTTTTGGCGCTTACTTATGGGATTAGGGTATTTTGGAACACACCCGGGCAATAAACAATGGCCTTGAAGATGATAATAATAAACGTCTTCATATAACCAAGAGGGACATAAACAGCGAAGCTTAGCTAAGGATACTCTTACACTTAACTGTTTTTGCAGTAATAACTTCAACACATATACCTAATTAAGAACAAAACACACATTTTGCATCTGTAGAAAATATAGAACTTGCTTAGCCAACATATTTTTAGAATGTCTCCGGAAACTTTGCAAAGAAATTGATTTTAACTGATTGATGATAGATGATGATACAAGCAGGTTTTGAAGCCCAATTCAGGATCCAAACAGTATTCAGACTGTCCGCGGTCTGAGGTTTCTCAATATAGGGGGACTTAAACTTGGAAACTCAAATAGAGAGAGAGTGAAAAGAAAGAGAAAGAGCAATGAGGAGGAAGTACGTCAGTTTGAGGGGTGCATTGGTAGTTTTAAATTTATCCTGAAATTAATTTAGAGATTGGTTGTTATAAAAAATTGTAATTTTGGTTGGAGTCAAAGTCGTAGGATGTAATTTTGTTAACCGTGCAATCGACTGCCTTGTGTGTTGACTCACGCAACACACGCTTATAATATTAGCTAATTTCCCCGAAATAATTGAAAAGTCTGGTTTTATTGATGCAAGTTGTTCAAAGGGTATTTAAAACATGGACGCATACGCAGCTACTTAAAGTTCTTCAAATCCGAAGGCTTCTTACTTCTAAATAACCGCCACAAAATTGGAGTTGATTGGTCAAGTAGTTTTTGAGAATTTCTAATTGTTTATCCCTAAACACCTGTCTTCCGGCCATGACTACCAGCTTATTGAGCAATATACAGGATTTGTTCAGAAGGCATTTTATAGCAAAATACACAAGTTTATTTTGCTGACATGAACCACAAGCCACTTCGAAAGAAAATTATATTTTTATGCGAAAAACTTGGAGTTACGTTTTTTTCTTCTTAACAAATTCAAACATTTCGTATTTGTAAGTAATTTTTTTAATCGCAAAACACATCCGCTGGGTTTTGAAAAGTGTATGATCACGGATATCGTAGCAAATCTCAGTTATTTGAAAACACCAAATGTTTGAATTTGTTTAGGGGAGAAAAGGTAACCTTCGTGTTTCACATAAAAATAACAATTATCTTTCGGGATGGCTTGTGATTTACGTCGGCAAGGTGAACTCGTCCATAAAATGCATTAAATGCACTTTGAAAGAACCCTGTGTATTGCTCAATAAAATAGTAGTGATGACCGGTTTTTTTACGTGTGGTCTCATACTGTAGGACTCATAAATGCCTAAAAATCTTAATAAAAGAGTTTTTTCGTTCCTGCCAACACTTTCGATTGAATCCCAAAAAAACACGTTTTCTGATTCTGTGTTGTCGAGTAAAAAGTTTTCTCACAAAAACTGGTGTACCCATTTCATGCGTCCGTGTTTTAAATACTCCTTTAACCAACTTGCATCAACAAAATCTGACAATTATTTCGCAAACCAGGGGTATTTTCGTCAAATATGATTAGACTGGTAGCTATGTGATTTCGCTTGACTATAACGTAGCTGGGTTTGTTTTTTGACATAGTCTATTAGGTAAGGGATGTTTGGATCTTTATGGAGGGTCTTATTGGAGACATATGGGGCGTTAGTGATTGTACGCAATGTTCTTTGACCTGCATTTTTGCGAGAGAACGTCAACCCGCACACGCGCAAATGATCGATATAGCCGTCTTTTATAGATCAAAGTTAATTTTGAGGCTCAACATATCATATAGTGTAGAGTTGCCAAAATGCAATTATCAGTAGTGACACCAAGAATTTTCCCACGGTACGCCTGCTTCGTTCACTGAAACCTCAGACGAGGCGCCGCTACGTTTTTTAGTACAGGAGATAGCCAAAGCTTTCAAACGATTAATTTTTATCACTTTACAGACCATCATGAACCAGAATTCCGGAACATGACTGGCTACCAGGGCAATGTCATCAGCATAGTTGCTGAGGCAACGGACGTCACAAATAAAAAGCGAATCAAGGACTGGTGCAAGAGGAACACCAGCTCTCTCTCTCTGCCGATAGAACATTATCAATTTTCTACCTCCAAGGAAGGCATTGGTCTCTGCAACTGTCCTAACAAGAATGCGATAATCCTGTCTACAGCTGCCAGACTTTGTTTCCCGCGACTAAAACAGCTACTGGGTGTATATTGGATTGTCTGTCTTTCGCATTTTAATCTCATGACCAATATATCAACCTGCATAAGTTGACGTTAGCCTGATGTCTGTGGAATCCAGCTCTACGATAGAGAAGATACAATCATCGTGCATAGTCTGCAATAGCCGGAACCATCGGAGCGGTACGTGCGATAGCTGGAAATTTCTGCCGATTATCCAGAAAAGCATATTGTAGCGGACGCGCTCGTACAATTCTTTTATCGGAGGAACGGAGGAAATTCGGTAGCTGAGCATTCCGCTTAAAAATATCGCCGGTGCGCTCACTGGAAACGCAAAAGAATATTAGATGTAAAATTTATACGATTCTCACGTATGTATGTGTGTGTGTATGTGAAAGCCTGGACCGTCGCTGCTACGGCGGCTGGGACACGAAAATCGATAGATGCACGGAGATAGATGCTGCATTCCCGGACTTCTTACACAATAATATTGTCATTTTACTTCCCAGGTCATAGGCGGGTAGTGCCAATATAACTTCACCCATTCCCTTATCTCAGAAGCCACCCAGTATAAAGATAAATTAGAAAGTACAGTTTCATTTTATTATGTTTGTCGGAATGAGAGTCAACTCAATTTGTCATCCTCCTGAGGCCCGAGTCTTATCAGTTCGTTATTATATGGCTAAAACTGTATATTTATGCTACTTTTAAAAGGCACGATTTTTGTCCAATTTTTGTTTTGTTCCTTTCACGCAAAAAAATTGTGTCCACTAGGATGGACATCAGTATGTAACCATTAAAAAATTATTGGAGTTCTTTAAGTCGCATTGGAAGCTGGCACGTGCTGTACAGACCTATTTCTTGCAAACAAACAGCTTTGGGATAACCTGAAGAGCTCCTAGTAACTAATCTTGAAATATCAGTGGAGCAGTCTTCTGTTCATAGACAGCAATCTCTTGACTGCATGGGTGTAATTTGCAACCTTTCTTAATCCGATCACTTAGGGGACGAATTTTAAAGATGTCAGTCTCTTTCTTCCATTTTCCTGTACATCAGCATCGATAACTACTTTCAAATGACTTCTAATTTGAAAGTATCTCTCACGTGTCAATGAATTATCAATACTATTACCGTTAGTCGTTTTAGCTCAGTACATTTTGATTTGGACATATTTAAGGCAAGACATTAAAACAGAAGTACCAAAAAAAAATTCACATCTTCAGGTTCATAGGTTTTCCTTTCTCCAGCAAGAATCTCACGGTTGTACAATTACAAATGTCTTTCCGTCAAAATCGTCAAAATACATATTAATGTTGTTTTCTATTTTCCTGTCTCGCCTTTCGTAAACTGTGTCTTCGGGTTGAGCAAATTCCACAGTTGGAGAGACAGAAATGCCTTATATTTTTCCACAAAATCCGTCCATCGTTGACAGACTTTTGTTGAGGGAGCTTCTTTCTCAGTTCGCTCAGTGGTTCGTCATCTGAAACACATTTAAATGGTTGTTCTGGATCTGGATCTTGAACTAAAGGAGTACGTTCTTCAAATATCGGATCATCAAAGTTTGTTTTATCTAGGGCGATTCATACTTCATCGTTGTCTGAATCTCAGTCAGGCAAGTCGGAGAGTTTCACAACTTGCAACAATTTTTCTACGTCTTTCCCTGTTACTAAACGGGTGTTGTTGCCAAAAATTGCTGAAACAAAAAATCAAAACCGATGGAAATTCATAATCACATCGACCTGACGTCCATTAAAATGGACCTAGACTTGTTCGCCACCTAACACAAAAATAAACATTTGCTTAAATATTTTATATACTCATACACACACACTGCACACCAGACAGCTAACAATGTAACCTATAAGTTCAGCTACTTACCATCAATTTTCGATCCGCATGTCGATGCATTTTATCAGTTACTCAAACTAACGATAAAAACTCTTAAATGCGCATCAACCACGCTTCCGCGGTTTAGCCGCGTGGAGGCATGGGTGTCCATTTGAATGGACGCTGGGTCTCAGGAGGATAAAAACAGATTCTGTTTAGTTTTTAAGAGAGTTTTGTCAATTTTTGTGCAAATTCAGTTATCTTCAACATGGCACATTGATATGAGAGAAAACATTTATATAAACAAGTAATGGTCTAGACCGTTCAACTTGCCCCCACGTTTCTGTATTTTTTCAAATTTTACCACACGAAATATTTAGGGTGCTTACTAAGCAGGTCCAAACTTCGACAAATCGAATGTGAAGAAACTTAATTATTTTAAGTGGAATATATCTTTAATTAATCTCTTAAAAATTTAAATCCCATAAGTCCTATAGTCAAACAAAGGATTTTAAAACTAATGTAGGCTTAACGATAATGTGTACACTTTCCATAAGTTATTTACTGGTTTGACAGTCGTTGAGTTTCAAATTTGATGTTTGGTGCATATCTATGTTAAAATACCTACATTTTTCTTATAGAATTGTTTCTAGAAAAAGACCGTTTGTAGTTCTTATTTTTGTTATTGCTGTTTTTTTAGTTTACTTTTGAACAATGTGCATTGAAAAATAAATTTAGTAAATATGCAATAATAAGACAACTGATGTTGGTGTTACTGTAGGGCTTCAGGAATTACTTTCACACATCCATGTCCGGCAGAAGCATACTTTAGCGTTAAAAACTAAATTCCAAATCCCGTTTCGGCAACTCTACCCTATGCTGTCAAGAACCTCAAAATTAAGTCTGATCAACATAGTTCGGCTATACAAGATGGTTATTAGACCAGCGGTCACTTACGCAAGTGCGGCTTGCTGTTTTATCGCCAAAACTCATTTACGAAGTCTGCAGGTTTTGCAGAACAGAACCTTGCGAACAATCACTAACGCGCCATGGTACGTCTCCTGTGAGACCCTTTACAAATACCTTGACATCGCTTACCTAAGAGACTACATCAAGCAACAAGCGCAGTTACGTTATACTCAACCGAAATTGTATCACAACCCTTTGTTGTGCGAGTAAGTAGACTACACAGTCGAGCAACTTCGCCAGCGCACAAGGCCGCGGCTCACACTGTGCAAAGAATTAAATCGTGCGACTTCAGGTCCAACCGAAATTATGTTTTTTCTTCAACAACCAATCTCTGAATTACTTTTAGGATCAATTTAAAATTTCCGAATACTAGTTAACTCAAACTGACGCACTTCTTTCTTATTTGCTCTCCCTCCTTCCTCCGTTTCTTCCTCCCTTCCTTCTCCTTGACTTTGTGTGGTATCTGGGCTACAAGACCTGACATACCTACTAACTTACAAGACTTTAACCAAGACCAAAGGTCTTACGGACCGCTCTGACGTACATTGACCAATAGAAGAGCATCCATCTCCCCACACACATACATTAGTAGTAGATCTCTATGTCCAGGCAAACGCACCCTTTTAAGTATGCATCTACCGCATTTATGCTTGTCACTGTCAGTATCACACATTGCTGGCCATGGAGCTACGATTCGAGTTTATCTCTTGTTAATGTCCCATATAAAACACAGCAACGCCCAAGCAACTATAATGAAGACAGTATGTGTTAGGTTTTCTAAATACGGACATACGTCACAGTTCATGGGTGCATGCAAGAGCAAGTAGCAGCCGCGTTAAGAACCGGCTCGCGCGGTGAGCAATTTCTCTACAGAGGTCAAGCTCCGCAGTACACTTGAAAAAATCTATTTACTTATTATTGTATGTGACGTAACTATTTAGAACTGTGGTAAGAACTGTACTTCATACAGCTCAGTATAAATGTAGCGGTTCCTAAACATTTTCTTTCAGTTTGGCAAGACTGTCTAGGTGGATGCTGAGCCATCTATGAGCGAAGGGTAATGCCAAATCAACTGCGTTTCACTTTAAGATCGCTGTTTTTGTAATGTAAACTTAATGATGCATGTCAAACCAAGCGCATTGAAGACGACTGGCGGTTGTCAGAGACATTCCACGCTGTGACCTCTCTTACCAGAAATACAGGGTTATCCAAATTAAGTGTCCACCATTAGTAACTTTGTTATTAGTGAAAATACAAAGTTGTTTGAATTAGCAAACTAGTAGCATTTTTAACGCTGGTAAAAATGAGAAATAAAAAAAAACAATTGAGAGTCGTTATTTTGATTTTTTCAGTAAAATAACATTTTTTTAAATGGAAACCCCTGTATATTATATTTTTTTCTGTTAAAGCATCAAATTTTAAACAAAAACGTTCATAATGACTTTTCCGCTAAAGTCAAAAATAAAGTCAAAATAACGATAAATATTTTTAATTATTTGCAGTATTATAATATTAAGACGGCTATGAAAACAACATGGCGTTCGCGATTTGACAGCATTAAGATAAGCGACAAATTGTTAAACTGGACATACTCGCAACTAGAAGGCTTTGGAAAACAATGATAAAATCAAATAATGTCAAACATTAGTGTAAATACTTGTTTATAAGCTTTATTGTGTCATTAATTTAAAGAAAAATGTTCTCCCATGAAGAAAAGTGTGATATGTTAGAATGCTATTTAGTGTGCAGAAAATCCTCCTTGAGAGCAAGAGAATACTACAGTGAATTATATCCCGCTCGCATTCAACCGTATGAACGATATTTTCTGAGACTTCATCGAAAATTTAGGGGCAACGAAAATGTGTTTGCTAAAACAAGGGCAAAAAAAGAATTCATAATAAGCGAGGCCACGGCAATTGCAGTTATTGGATATTTTGAAGCTTATCGTGAGAATTCAATAGCAGATATTCTCAAGGACTCTAATTTCAGTTATGGTACTGTTCAAAGGATTTTAAAAAAATACAAATTTATTCCGTATAAGTACCGACCAGTTCAAACGCTTTTGGCAGGGGATCCAGAGAGAAGACTTGTTTTTTGCCATTGGTATCTTAGCTTCTGTCGCCAAAATGTAAATAACTTTCGTTACCTTTTATGGACAGATGAATCAAATTTTTCAAATTCTGGAATGTTTAATAGAAAAACCTCCATTATTGGTCAAGAGAAAATCTTTTGTTAGTACATCCAAGAGGCCCACAAGTCCGTTTCAGTTTCAACGTTTGGTGCGGTATAATTGGTTCAAAAATTGTTGGCCCGTTCTTTTATGAGGGAACCCTAACTGGTGAAAGATATGTGGAATTTATGTCAGAAATTCTGACTAATTTCTTAGACGAATTGGATCTTATAAGTAGACATCATCTGCATTTTCAGCAAGATGGCGCACCTGCCCACAACTCCAGAGGTACTTATCATTTTCTAAGTACTACTTTTAATGATCAGTGGATAGGAACAAATGGCCCAATACAGTGGCCTCCCAGATCACCAGATCTAAACCCACTTCATTACTTCTTGTGGGGTTACTTAAAGAACCAAATTTACAAGCGAAGGTACGATAACCTTGACGCGTTAAAGACTGCAGTTAGGGAAAAGATAACCCAGATAGATGGTAGGACCATACTTAAGACAGTTCGAGCAGTTGAAAAACGTGCCCAAAAATGTATTGAAGAACAAGGTGGTGTTTTCGAGCATCTTCTTTAAAAAAAATTGTTATTGTATTTTGTAAGATTATAAGTTGATGTTGAAAATAAAGTTTGTCGATACAATTTAATTGTTTCAGATTGGAGGCCATAACTTCAACAATTTGTAACCTAGGAGAAAAGTTATTGTGAGCTTTTTTGTTTAAAATTTGATGCTTTAACAGAAAAAAATATAATATACAGGGGTTTCCATTTAAAAAAATGTTATTTTACTGAAAAAAATCAAAATAACGACTCTCAATTGTTTTTTTTTTATTTCTCATTTTTACCAGCGTTAAAAATGCTACTAGTTTGCTAATTCAAACAACTTTGTATTTTCACTAATAACAAAGTTACTAATGGTGGACACTTAATTTGGATAACCCTGTATACAGTAATAAGTTAATTTGAAAGAAGATAGATAATAATAATAATAATAATAATAATGTGCCTTTATTCAACTTTGCATACATAAAATAAAACAAAAGAATGATATCTTGAAAACCTCAAAAGTGCAAAATTGAAAAGGTGGAGTGTTGCCCTATGGGTATTTTTCAACTCAATCTCAAGATAGATAGATTCTCCTGGCAGCTTTTGTTGTTCGCGAGAGGTAATCATACCAGAGTGTACGTTAATGATTTCCTGTTTTTCGGCCTTTTTACTAAGTCTCAACACTAAACTGCACCAGACTACAGAGAAGAGGATGCTTCTGTGCATCTACAACTTTTTCGTCCACAGAAGGTAATAAAAAATATACTTCCTGCAACATTTTAATTTCATTGCCTATGCATTTTTTTGGTGACAGGGTTCATAAAACTGCTTAATGAAATACGATGACCACTCGGGTACTTTATTATGCTTTTTGATTTATCTGTTTAGGAGCATATCCGTAAAAACTTCTCGCATATAATGCAGCGGCATCATAAAAACTCTCCGAATTCAGTCTGAGGAGTTCTCACGGCGTGGTGGCGTGGAGCGTCGACGAATTTCATCATAAAATCCGTTAACTAGCGCCCGTTATCTGGGGAGGCTAATAAAATCCCTCCAAGGCCGAGGTTAAATAAAGTTGGCACAATTTAAACATGAAATCGCCGTTAAGATGGATTTTAAGTGGGCGTAAAAGACGAATTTATCAACTGGGGAAAAGACGTTGATATGCGAGCAAAGGAGAGACGATCGATGCCTCTACTAGAATGCTTCCTAACACAAGGAAGCGTACGAGAAAATATTTTATCGTATGGAGGTCCAGGAATAATGGTAATACTTGAATCATTGGTTACGTTTAGATGCACGCAGCTGCTGATTGTTAGCTCTACGTAAAGACTGACTTTAGTCAGTTGCCCAATATCGCTTGCTATTGACTGAATCCTATGACAATAATAATTAGCACTGTTCAGCTTGACCTTTTTTATAACATAAAGCCTAAGTGCCAGGATACCGCGACTGCTATGAGAATTCCAAAGAAATTTTGTTTGTCACGGTTAGGATGAGAGGTCGAAGTCGGTCGGGTCTGTCTGGTAGGCCCATCGCGTGGCGGCGTCATGGAGGAGAGCTCTGAGGAGCAAAGCCCGTTGGTGTAGGGGTAGAAGAGAGCTAGATCGCCGACGACCCGCCGGTGTCAGTCTCGAGACTGTCTGTTAGAGAAGACCCAACTAACAATTATCACTACTATTAGAGTTGCAAGAATCATTATACAGTATTCCTTACACAGCATTGTATACTGTAAGAACATTGGCAAAACCCTCTTAGAACAGCTATACAAGCGGGGTTGTGTACAATCATGGCATCGTCCATGTTGTCTTTAGGTTATTAGAATATTTTGATGTTGCCTGCAGGTATTACAACAATTTGACAAATGCCTGAAATGAAATACCGACAGAGTCGAGTGATTTACCCAGAATTTGTATCAGATCTATATCTTCTGTTTGAACAGTTGATAAAACCTTTTGAACCGATATGCATGCGTTGTTTGTCTTAAAACATTGGTTATGGCATTTTAACAAAAATATGACAGCAGAAGGTTGGGTTATGATGAAGTTGTTTACCAACATATTTAGCATATGTAACAGTTGTATAAATGCTTCCGTTGGGAGCAATTTGTTGGCTAATGTAGTAAATTGCACAGCAAAGCAACAAGGCTCGGGTTTGTTTTATAACCGTTACCATGGGTGCCACAACACAACCATTTTGACTAACTTGCAAATATGCCGTATAAAATAGTTGTATAAACGTTTATGCAACAGTTAAAAATATGCCCTATAAGGTGTTTTATAACTATGTTATAAGAATATTTTAAACACCTCATTTTAGAGCAAATATGTTGCAGAAAGCAAATTTGCATTCCACACAACATTTTGGTGTTGAGGCAACAACAATAGAGAGCTTTTATGGCTGAACGGTTCTTTTACCAAAAGCTTATACCACCACTTTGCTAGTTTGGTAATTTGCACGATAATCAAAATAAAATTTGTTGCGCAAGTAATTCAATAGCCCTATATCGCAGTGTAGAAGTTTATCATATACATGTCCTTGAAACTCACAATGGCCGATATGTAAGTAAACAAGATGACTGTAATGTGTTAGTTATATATTCTTCACTTCGTCTATACAATACATAAGAAGTAGTTTGGTTGTAATAAAGTAGAATCACGTAACAGAATAGTTGTATAGTTGACAAAAACTGAATCTTGCACTGACGCAATTGTCCTATAGTGGCTGCAAGATGCTTACACTTTTGTTGTATAACTGTTACCTGCAGCCCTTGTACAACCTCTTAAAATGACTGAAGTGTCCTATTAGGTGTGCCCATTCTGCTTGCCAATGTTCTTACAGTATACAATGCTGTTTAAGGAATACTGTATAATCATTCTTGAAACTCTAATAGGAGCGCTAATTGTTAGTTGGGAAGATGCATTGTCTAACATGTTTTAAGATGCGTGTGCCAGTGGCGCTATCTCTGGTGAGGTGTATGTAATTATATAGGACGAAAACGTCGCATGTACGAGTTTTAACTATTTTCAAAAGAATTGAACAAGTAACATATTTTAGTCCCTGATCACGAGTGTATTTTGTAATATGAAAAAAAACAGCTTATAAATAGAAAAATTCAACATTAAGTTCAATAATTCTACCTCATCGGCAGAAAAATCTCTTCCAAAAACGTGATTTTATTTCCAAAATTCTAGGTTTGTGATTGCCCTTCTTGCTATTTTCCATTATGTTCTTGAATTTGGTACTGTAAAATTCTGATGATTGCATCCCTTCACAAAGCAATATTTGTTTACCTAGAACGTTCTGAAATAATTTATTCCTAATCAATATATAGATTAGTACCTTAAGCAAAAGTACTTAACTGCACCGCATCGTCGAAGACGTCGAAGCTTGAAATTTTTAAGAATCCAAGCACCTGAAGCGTCAACTTGTCAAGCACGTATCCCGCATGAAACGTTCCTTTCGTTGGGCGCTCTCGGCGCAAGACGACACACTAAGAAAAATCAAAGATATCTATTTTCTTGAATTACTGCCTTTGTAGGCTTCATTGTTCATTTAACATTACATAGAACGAAATAGCTTGTCAGCTTTTAAACCGGTGAATGGGTGTAGCCACAAAAAATTTAACTGCGAACGCGTTCGCCTATCTCCGCGAGCATAGCATTCGTGTTTATCGTTGCAAAAGCCATAAATGTCACACTTGGATTCGTGTCGTTCAAAGTTCGCGTCAGACGAATAGACAGAAGCACATTATACCTATCCAGACCGATCGAATTCCAATTCCACGGCATGCAGTTTTATAGGTTTCATGCGCTTTAACCAGATGAAATATTCATTGGACAAATAGCGATGCAAGTCTATGTCGTCGTCGATAAACTGGTGCATACATAGCTCTCGTTAAATTATATACATATTGATAAAGTAGCACTCATTCTATTTAACTCATTCAGACTTATTTGTTTTAGATTTAACTACCGCCTTTAGAAACTTCAGTGGTTCAACATTATCGGAAGAGCTTATGAGTACAAGTGAGTTTTGCATGCTCTCTCTCCCATACTGGAGTAGCGTCTATATACAGAGACTTCGAAGTTGAGTCATTTATTTTAACAGTGAGTAGATCTGATCAAAATAAATGTTTTTTTCCTTTAACATTTTTGAGGTAAAATTAAAGTAACAAAGTTATAGCCCTTTAGAAGTTTGAGTACCGCCCTGTCTCAATAATAATGTGCTCGTGTTTGGCAACAACGGATATAATCCGCCTTATCGGTTCACCGCATCGGAAACAAAAAAGCGAGAGAATTTGAAACGCTTATCACGATGTTCTTACTACAATTTTATTCAGTTGTATTCAGTCAATGTGTCAGTCGGTAACGCGTGAGTGAATAGTGGCGTTTGTTGCGTGGCTCAAACGAAATAAAAAATGGCACATGTTTACGAAAATGCTGAACTTGTGGACATGATTCTTATTTACGGGGTCTTTACAAAATGCTGCCGCGGCATCACGGATTTATGCGGATCGGTTTCCCAATCGAGTGCAACCAACCCCTCGTGGCTTTGTTAATGTAGTACAAAGGGCTCGTGACTTAAGACCTCACAGGAGAGAGCATGCCGGTGCTCCAAGACCGCACGATCAAATACAGGTCCGCACTGAAATACTTGTCGGGAGGATACTTTATAAAACAAGGTAACGTTTTTTTTTTAATTTTTTTGTATTCTTACACACATATTTTGGTTTATCTTCCTTCTACAATCATTATCTGAAAATTAATGACTCAACTTCAAAGTCACCCTGTATATTAAGGAAGAATTATACTTTAAAACAATGCATAACTGTGTAGTGGAGAAAAACCTATAGATGATTAGAGTAAATTTATCTATAGATAATAAAAAATACAACACTTTATGTGTATACCATTCTGAAAATTCAAAGGATAATCAATTTCTGCAGACGTTGGAGGAAACTTTAGATGATTATTCAGAAAAAACTGATATCCTCATAATGATTGGCGATTTTAACATCAACTTGGCAAAAAAACTTTTTTTACTGCTCTAAACTTGAGAAAGTCATTCAAAGAAGTGGATTCTATCAGAAAATTCAAAACTTTACAAGGGTTACACAAAATAGTGCAACCATGATTGATCTCATTATTACAAATGAAAAGTGCCTGGAAAGTGAGATATGCTATACTCCTAAAATAACGGACCATGCAATAGTGAAGGTTAATCTTTCTACAGCTGAACTTACCTAGGCAGAATATTACAGAGATATGGAACACTTTAACAACCTTGAATTTCAATTAATGCTAATAGAATCTCCATGGTCATCCAACCTTATCAGTACGGATGAAATAGCAAACAATTTAGTAAAAATAATAACATAAAAGTTGGATTATTGTGCACCAATAGTTAAAAGAAAGACACCTGTCAAATGGGGCCACCCAAAGATGATGGTCACCAGATTTACATGACAATATTTTAGAAAGGGATAGGCTATACAAGAGGGCTAGCACAGCAGGAAGAACATTGGGTTAGCTTTCGAAAACAAAGAAATAAAGTTGTTCAATTGATAAGACAACAAAAGCAAGTATATTACCAACAAAAAATAACATAGATGATGCCAAAGTAGATTCAAAGTCTATGTGGAAAAGATTGAAGGATATCATAGGCAATGGATTGGAAGTAGAAATATGGAAGGTATTGATTTCGATGGAACTACTTACAAAGAAAGTGAGACAATAGTAGAGAGTTTTAATGATTTTTTTTCTGAAAAGCGAGACTAATTTGGCAATTGATATAGATGACATACATATGGAAAATACTGTAAATTATATACCATCTCCTACAAATTGCTTTAGTACATTTAATACAGTTCAAATGAAGGAACTAAGAAATACAGTTAACAATTTGAAAAATAAAAAAAAAACAGTGTTGACGGAATTAATACCGAAATCTTGAAATTGAATTTTGAAGTCATAGGCAACCGCTTTCTCCAGCTTATAAATTCCAGTATGGAAACAGGATATTTTCACCAGGAATGGAAAATGTCAACAGTCATCCCTATAGAAAAAGTGAGTGGAACAATAAAATTTGAAGATCATAGACCAATTAATATGGTACCTGTATATGAAAAACTTCTAGAAACTGTTGTCAATCAACAATTACTTCAATACGTAGAAGAAAATAAATTACATACAAAATGCCAAGCTGGTTTTAGGAAGAACCATTCATGTGAGAGTGCGCTTCGGTCTGTTATTTCAGGATGGAAAAATGTTTTGACTGTGGGTGGGTGTTGTTTATCGACTTTAAGAGAGCATTCGAAACAATAAATAGAAGTTTGTTGATAAAAAACTATAAAAATATGGCTTTGAAGGCAACGTTTTAAGATGGTTCTCAGGATACTTGGAACAAAGAACTCAGCGAACAAAGTACAAAAACCCCTTCTCTAAGAGAAAATAGACATGGTGCCTCAGGAAACAGTGTTGGTCCTGATCTATTCGTGCTGTATATAAACGATATTGTAAAGGCTGTGAAAAATTGCAAAATTTAGTTGTTTGCAGACGATACAACTTTGTTCATGGAATGTGACAACATAGACAATTTGGTTAAAATGATTAACGAATACTTAAAGACTTTATATGCCTGGTTAGGGAACAATAGTCTTGGTATTAATGTTGACAAGACATATGAGAAGAGTATGATACTGAAAATCTAAATTTAATGTTCAGGATACTTATCTGCACGACGGATTTATAATTAAAAATAATAAGATTAAACAGATCAACAAGTATACATATTTACGAGTTATGAGAGACTCAAATTTAACATTCAATAGTCATGCAGATTATATTATAAAAAAAGTTTCTAAAAAAGTTAATTTAATGTGTAGGGTAGCAAAGGACCTTAGTTCATGGGCGTCACTGCTTCTATATAAAACAATAGCCATGCCTCACTTTAACTACTGTTCCTCCACATTATATATGTTTCAGAATGGTGATACAGATTCACTACAGAGAAAACAAAATCAGGCTATTGAATGTATATTAAGATGTAATAGATACACAAGAATTAGAGACATTAGGTGTAGTTAATTTATTAAGTATCAAACAAAATATATTTTACAATACAATGATAGTCATCTACAAAATAATGAATGGAATGTATCCCGCACATTTATTAGAAGGTTTGCAATTTGTCCGTGATATTCATAGTTACTATACAAGGGATAGGTTTGATTTTTATGTTCCTGCTGTGGCGTCTGCTTTTGCGCAAAATAGTTTATTTCACAAAGGCCTTACAGATTTTAATAATTTACCAGCTGAAATCAAATCTACAAATTTTGTCAAACTCAAAAGACAATTTAGAATTTATGTAGAAAATAGTGTTAGTTTTACATAATAACATTATATATATATATATATATATATATATATATATTGTATTATTTAGCTTGAAGCTGTTAGATAAAGATACTATACTACTACTATGCTATACTCATAAGAGAGCATTGTCAATCAGAACAAGAAATCTAAATCATGAAATTGAACTCTTTCGATTTTATTCATATTGCGGTTTACTAGTTTTGTGGTTGAACATGGTTAAACATTTAATATTGAAAGATTCTTGGAGGGAGAGTAAATTATGCATGCCTTCCGAGGTTTCTTTTTCGAGGTAGACCCAACAGGGGAATCCGTAAGAAAACATTATCAACTAGAACAAGAAATCTATATCTGTTGAACCACAACCGAGATAACTGCAAAGGACCCCGCACAAAACATATGCGAAAAAGGTTCCAGTCGGTTTAGCTAAAAAGTCAGGTTATTTCTCGCCTTTCTGAACGAGTTCTCGTGCACCAAAGCAATTCTATGCTTAGAAATGGTAAATGTACGGATTGTAGTTCTCATACGAAATGCTCAAAGCGTTGTTATAGCGAAAAAAGCATTTCATTTAAAAGCCATTTAGGAAGATATTGTGAGTTGTCACGCTGATCCTGGCCGTGATCCTTAAAATATCATTTTAGCGGTAAGTTCTTGGTTGACGCTGAAATGCACCGGTAAGGAGTTGTTTGAGAATTAAAAAAAATCCACTAAAGAGGGGTCCGCTTCACAAGGGCACGAGAAAGTCGTAGTTGCTTAATTGTCTTTGATAACGACCTTTACAGGATCAGTAAAAGGTCATTGATTTTGAAGGCGAAAGAGAAAGGAAGAGCGCTTGAATGTAAACATAGCTTTAGGGTGTCTTAATTTATTGACTAGTAATTTGAGTTAATTATTGAGTAATCATCAGGTAAGCCCTCGTTATTTTCATAAACTTGTCGATACGATATCCACAGTCGGTATTTTATTGAAATTTTAAAGCTCGAGTAAATGCTTTTTGCGGATATTGCCTACCTCATCTACGGCTAGACCGATGTTTGGCCCTTGCGCCGTTGTTAATAGCTGAAGCGCTATCGATCTACTAAAAATGTTAAATGGAAGATGATATCTATTAATAAGA